ATAAGCTAAAAGGATATACTGTACAACACACAGAATATAGCTAATATTTTATAATAACTATAAGTGGAATATAACCTTTAAAAATTGTGAATCACTATATTGTACACTTATAACTTACATAATATTATACATCAACTATACTTCAAGAAACAAAAATTATCAGTTGTCCAGGTATGTGTGGGTTCACTTCTAGACTCTCTACTCTGTTCCATTGATTTATTTATCTAATTTGATGCCAATATCATGCTCTTTTGATCACTGTAGCTTTATAATAGTTCTTAAAATCAGGTAGTCTTAGCCCTTCAACTTTATTCTTTTTTGAGTTTTTCTGCTATTCTGCCTACTCCCATACATTTCCATGAATTTTTGAGTAAACCTGTCAATTCCTACAAAAAAAAAAAATCCCACTTGGACTTTGTTTTGGATTGCCTTGAATCTATAGGTCAATTTTGGGAGAATCAATATCCTAATATTGAGTTTTGTGACCCAAGAACATATTTCAATTTATTCAGGTTATTAACAGTTTCTTTCAATATTTTGTGAATTTCAATGTAGAAGTCGTTCATATGTTTTGTCAGATTTATCCCAAAGTATTTCATATTTTTCGTTCCTATTATAAGTGGTATTTTAAAAATTTTCATTTCCAAATGCCCATTGCTAGTAAAGAAATAAACTTCTTCCCCATATTGATCTCATACCCTGCATCCTTGTCAAATTCTAGTAGTGTTTAGAAGTAGATTTCATTGGATTTCCTATATAGGTGATCGTGTCACCTGTGAATAACAGGCTTATTTTTTCCCTTCCGATCGAGATGACTTTTCTTTCTTTTTCTTGCCTGAATGCACTGGCTAGAACCTTAAATACAACACTGAATAGAAGTATTGAGAGTGAACATCCCTTTCCAGCTTCTGATTTTAAGGAAAAAAGAATTCAGTATCTCAACAGTGAGTATTACGTTAGGTGTAGATTTTCCCTAGATGCCCTTTAAGTTCCCACTTATTCCTTGTCTGACTATTTTTAAATCAGGAATGGATGTTAGATTTTGTCAACTGCTTCCTATTTTTTTAGTTTACTAATGTGGTGAATTCCATGGACCGATTTACAAATGTGAAGTCAACTCCATGTTCCCAGGATAAATCCTACTTGGTCATGATGAATTATCATGACCAGAATTATCCTTCTGATATACCGCTGGATTCAATTTGCTAAAATTTCCTTTAGAATTTTAACATCTATATTTGTGAAGTATATTGGTCTATAAGCAATTTTCTTTACTTTAAAATCTTTGTCTGGTTTTGGTACCATATTCCATGAACCTACCATTAACAAGTTGGGAAGCATTTCCCCACTTTAATTTTTGGAAGAGTTTTGTATAGAACTGGTACTATTTCTTCCTGAAATGTTGGTAGAACTCACCAGTGAAGCCACATGGGCCCGGAATTTTCTTTGTCCAAGGTTTCTAACTTCAATTTCCCTATAGTACTCTTTGGGTTATTTATTTTTTCTTGAGTGAGCTTTGGTAATATGTGTCTCACAAGGAATTTGCCCATTTCATCCAGGTTTTTTAATTTATTGGCCTAAAGTTGTTCATAATATTTCCTTATTATCCATTTTAACATTTGTAGAATCTACAGTAGTCACTTCTCTCATTCTTGATATTGGTAAGTCACTTCTCTCTTCATAATCAGTCTGGCTTGAGGCCAATTTTACTGGTTTTAGAGCTCAAGCTTTTGGTTTCATTGATGTTTTCCTATTGCTTCCCTGTTTTCTATTTCATTGATTTCCACTTGGATATTTATTATTTTCTTTCTTCTGTTTACTTTGGGTTTAACTTGCTCTTCTTTTTCTCTTTCTTAAGGTAGAAGCTGAAGTCACTGGTTTGATGAGAACTTTTCTAATATACTGTTTTATAATATAGGTGTTTCAGTGCTATAAATTTTCCAAGTATAAATGCTCAATTGCTTTTTTCTATTGCTGTGCTTTCAAGTTACCTAACCTTTTCTTCTGTAATGTCTAATCTGTTGTTAATTTCATCCAGTATATTTTTCAACTCTAACACTGTGGATTTTCATCTGTAGAAGTTCAACTTTGGCCTCTATATCTTCTATATTCCTACTTAACTTTTTAAACACATGAAATACAGTTATAATTGCTTTAATGTCTTTCTGCGCTAATTTTAGTGTCTGTGTCAGTTATGTCTTGGTTTCTATTGATTGATTAGTCTTCTCATTATGGGTCATGCTGCCCTATCTTTTTGCATGCTTGGTCATTTGACGGGATGCCAGACATTATGATTTTTATTTTGTTGGGTGTTGAATATTTTTAATTTACTGTGAGTCATCTTCAGCTTCATTCTGGGATCTAGGAAACATTCTGACCCTTTTGGGTCTTGCTTTCATGATTTATTAGGCAACTCTGGAGCAGTGCTCAGTTTAAGGCTAAGTATTCCTCCCTAATGAGCCAAGACCTTCCTGAGTACTTTACCCAATTTCCCATTGAAGTCTGCTGAAAAATGGTCATCTAAAGGCATCAGGTCCCAATCCCTGGAAACTATAAATGTTACCTTGTAAGGAAAAAAGGGTCTGTGTAGATGTAATGAAGTATTTTGCCACGAGCAAATTATCTTGAATCATCTGGATGAGTCCTAAATCCAATTACAAGTGTCTTTTTAAAAAGAGAGGCAGAGGGAGATTGGACACACGCAAGAGGAGGTGGCAATGTGACCTGGGAGGCAGAGAGTGGAGTAATGCGGCCCCTAGCCAAGGGATGCTGGCAGCTACAAGAAGATGGAAGAGGCAAAGAACAGATTCTTCTCTAGATTTTGGCTTAGTGAAACTTATTTCAGACCTCTAATTTTCAGAAGTGTAAGAGAATAAATTTATGTTGTTTTTGGACACCAAGTTTGTGGTGATTTGTTACAGCAGCCTTAGGAAACTAAAACACTCATAAATGAATTATAAGTTTTTCCCATCTGGCTGTTGGGAAAAGGCATGTTTCCCTCTAATCCTCTATTCCTTTCAGATGGTTCTTTCTCTGGCCAGAGAGTTTATCCACACGTATATGCTGAACAGAACTCTACGGAGTACTCTTGCACCCTTTGTAGATCTCTAGTGTTCTCTCTCTGCAATGTTCTGGAAACTCTATCAAGGCATGAATGCTGGGGCACCTCTTTTGTTTCCTGTCTCTCAGGGATTACTTTCGTTTCACTGCCTGATGTCTAGGATCTTGAAAACTATTATTTCATGTTTTGTATGCTTTGTTGTTTCAGGCAGGAGGGTCAGTCTGGTTCCTATTATTCCATCTTGGCTAAAAATTCCATTAATGTTTATAAACATCTTCCTAATTTTTTTTTGGTTAAAGTTAAATAAATGCACAATGTAATAGGGTTCTCTGGAAACCACAGAGTTCATTAGTCAACAGGTTTTTAACAAGGCATTATTTTTAGGCACTGAAAATACAGAGGTATATAAAACGCCAATATTGCCCAAAGAAAACATTCTATCACAAGGTCCTTGAACAGAGTTCATTTCTCACTTACCATATCGTGAAGGTATATAGCAGACAGTTATCAAGATAAACTGAGTGTACTATTAAGTGACCAGTTCATTTAAACATAAATAGGTAAAGTTGCTGTAGCTGCTACTGATTTTTACTAAAATAATAAAACACTGATCCAAGGATAGAATAAATTGATTCCAGAAAAGTGATGAAGTGTAGAATTTTGAGTAGTTGAATTAAGACCACATTTCAGACTGAAATGAATTAAGAATATATTCAATTGTCCATATTATTTCTTAATAGAGTAACATTTTACTAATGAAAGAAAACACTACAGGAAAATTTTACCTTTCCCATAAAAAGCAGAATTTTAATTCAGAAATTTAGGAATCTTTAAAAAAACACATCCACCCAAATGTAAATGGGAATTTAATATATCGGATATGTAATTTTGTTTCACTCTCAAGATTTATAATGATATCATTTAAGAGTATGTTTCTAGTATAGTCTACCTTGCTGAAATAACACAAACATCTGACACTGAACATATATTCAGTACTAAGCACTGTGCTAATAAGAAGCACTTTACGTGTATTATCTCCTTTAATTTACATCAGACCCTATGCCATTAGATGTTATTTCTATCCTCATTTTAAAGATAATGAAGCTCAGACACAGAAACCTGTCTAACGTCACATAATTGTGTAACTACCATGGCTAGGACTTAAATTCAGTCTTCTTGACTCTAAAGCTCATGTTCTAAAAATAAGCCACAAATTCAAATTTATAAACCAGGAAAATACGGCTGATAAATTGCAAAAACTTTCACTATGAAGTTCCCTTAAATAACGGTTTCCTCTAAATATCAAATATCGATTAACATTTTAGCGCCAACATTTTAAGAGCACTTTTATTTTAAAAGTTGACGCTAAACCGATCATTTCTAATATATATGCAAGCAAATAAAGCACTCGATATTTAAAAAAGATATAGTTTTGTATTTAAAGAATTTGTAATCTCTCACAAATAGATGAACAAAAATATTCAGAGGAAACCTATCAAATCTTATTTTTTCTTATAATGCATATACATCCTCATGACTACAGAGTATGAGAAGGAATGACACATTTGCTCTAAAAGAGATACAATTATCTTCACATTAACATAGGTCTTTAAAAAGGATTTTTTTGTTTCTGTATAATAGATATTTATTCTATGTGGAAAGTGGGTATAAAATGTATGTAGTATTTTGTATTTCTTTGACATCACTGGAGAGAAAAAATATGGATCAAGGAGATGGAGTCCCTCTTATAACAAGAGTTTGATGAAGACACTTTATCACCAATCTCAAAACATGTGCTCTCAAACTCTCAAGAAAGGCTTTGAGTTTTCTCATGTAGGCTCATTTGTTCACTGCTGTGAGTATAAGGGATGGACAATATAAGGGACCTTAGAAAATATTTCACCTCTGAAGAAATTACAGTAATATTTTTGTTATTTACCTGAAGATTTTCACAGGTCTCTTGACTGTAAGTGAGTCTCTGGATTTCTGTAGGTGAAACAAGATATAATGCTTGTCCATTGTTGGTGAAGCAGAACGTTCTGGCTATCCGCATATTGGTAAGGGGCAAGTAATACACATCCAATAGAGGTCTTAAACTTGGCAAACTTGAGAAAAAAATTAAAAACTTGTTAATAAACAGGTAGGTTTTAGTCTTGAACAAATACAAGAGGAGGTAAAAATAGCAGGGAACTCATAAACCTTCTGATTTAGTGTACCTGAGTGGGAGATAAAACTGATTTGTTTTCCTCACATATTTGTTCACTATGAACTGAATGAAAATAAATTCTCAGTGTATAAGACTGTAAACAAATAAAAGCCTTTCTTTCAAACTGAATATAATTCTGCAACATTATGTGTTGAGGGAGGAAATGTTATATCTGTGTTTAAAAAAAGAAAATATCTAACTCTTACCTAAAAGTCATAATGTGTCCATTGGCACAGAAGCAGGCAAGGCAGATACTGTTACTCAATGATACAACATCTCCACGAAGAACAAATGAGGTCTCTGTAATGTTTTGCTTATAAGCACAGTTCTGAGTTGGCAGTGAGATTACTTTTGCTTGCTTTTCAGAACATATCACTGCATACTGGTTTTCACTAATTTCCTGAGAAGAGGAGGGAGATACAGAGACAGGTCTTCGTTTTTTCAATTTCTCCTTTTCATCCTTCTCTTCAGGAACATTGTGCTCTTTCCAGGATTCATATGCGGGTGGCATTAAGCAGCCTGTGGAATCCAGGAATGCCATTCTCAGGACTGCCCCTTTTAACCTCAATATAGTACCTAAAATTGTAATTTTAGTAAATAAAAAATATTTTAATCCCACAGTAAATATGTTTATTCCAACTCTGACACATACTAGACACTCAAAAATATGTAGAATGTATACTGAACCGAAATTGTACACTGGCTCACTGATAGGATTCAAACTTCAAGCATGATATTTGAATCTGGAAAAAGATACCAGTAAGTGCTACCAAATAAATAAGCGCTACTATAATTGCTACCAAACAGATAAACGCTAGGATGAGTGGAACTAGGTCTCATACCTGGCAAGTGTACTACCATTGAGTATGAGAGTAAGCAGATGGCATCTAGAGCTGCACGGTCCAATATGGCAGCCACTAGCCACTTGAAGTGTGGCTGGTCCAAATTGTGGCATGTTGTAAGAGTGAAATACATGCTGGATTTGAAGGCTTAGTACAAAGAAAAAATTACAAGAAAATACCACAATAATATAAAAATACTGATTACATGCTAAAATGATAGTATTTTGGATAGACTGGGCTAAATGAAATATGTTACTAAAATTAATTTCACTTTTTTTTTTTTTTTTTACTTTTTTAAAAACAGCTACTAGAAAATTTAGAATACTATATGTGGCTCACACTGCATTTTTAATGGACAGAACTGATCTACAGGGTCAATGAGAAAAAAAAGTTTCCACATATTTCTAAACATTACTTCAAAAAAACTATTTACCAGTAAAAGTCAAATACACTCAAGACATTGCTTTGGTCAACTTACAGTCTTAAATTAGTAGTTATAGTTCTTGATTTACTTTAATTAACGGGACTCCCTTTCCTCCATATCCTTGAATAGGTAAATATGATTTATGCTCATTTCTAAGTAAGCTAAATGATATTATTAAGGATTTGGAAAGCAATAGAAGGGAGGGTATAGAACCGATTTAGCAATTCAGTTTTTATTTTAGAAGATTTTTTTCATATTTTATTACTTTATACTTATATTTTATAGTTTGCAAAAAATTATCCATATATTATATTCTTTTGTTTCTAAGAGGAAGAGATCCCAGTGTTCTGTCAAAATTTTTCTTAGAAGACAAAATTTTCCTTTCCTCTTCACATTTATATATTTTGTCTATTGCAGGGTGGCCAGATAAAATAAAGGATGCCCAGTTAAATCTGAATTTCAGATATACAATCAATACTTTTTTTAGTATAAGTGTGTCCCAAATTCTGCATTAGTTTTCCAAAGAGAAAGATGGGACATATTTAAATTAAAAAATATGTTATCTAAAGTCCAAATTTAACTGGGCATCCTGCAATTCATTTGCTACATCTGGCGTTAGTCTATTGTCCAGGTTTGGAAAGTAGACAATTTAATTATTTTAAACGGTTTGCTAATTTGGGAATGGTTTATAGTCCATATGAACATATATGAGATATAGTAATCCCAGTAGGTGGCTTTTCTAAAAATGTACCAATATTTAAATATATGCTTGTCCTATAGTTGGCAGGATTATAGTATGTTTTCCAGCAGGGTAGTGGTAATTGTTGAGTTCTCCTCTTGAAGGCAAAAAAAAAATAAAAAAAAAAAAAAACCACAACAAAAAACAGTTGGGGACAAAATAGACCATTTCAGGCTCTTAGGCATGGAAACTCACCTGCTTGGAAAACACCTCTCTTCTCCTCATAGTTCCAATACAGATAATATGATATAAATGTCATTGTTATATTTTAAAATAGGCATCCTATTAAAAACAAACCTCAAAGATTCCAACATTGAAAAGAAACCCAAAGGTTCTTTCTTACACATGAAAATTATTTCATATCAAAGTAGATTTACAGCTAATTTGACTTTATTGCCAGTTGGAAAAATCTTAAACATTTTTTAATATAGTTAATAGTAGATTATTTATATTTAATCCCTCTCTTTTATTTATTGGAAACATTTTCTTATCACAAACTGTCTGTTGTAGAAAATTTAGAAACTACAAATCAGTAAAAAGAATAAAAATTACCCACAATCCCACTATTCAGTGATAATTTCTATCAACATTTTGATTTTCATCTTTCTAGTTTTTTTTTCCAATACATATACTTGTTTACTAATAAGAAATGAGATTGGTTAAGAAATTCATCATTATGTAACTTCTTCTAACAACTAGGTATGCAATATATAGTAAATTATTGAGCTGAATGAATAAATCAAACTGTTCCTTTAATGTAAAGGTAGTTCAGAAATGGTAGAACTAGAAATCATAATTACATTTTAATTCTAAATTCTAAGTATTGTTAAAATGTACTATATAAACAAGAAATACACTAATAAGCAAAACCACGTTTTTGTTTTTATTTTTTTCTATCTAGATCAGCATAGATTAGTAACGGAAACCAGAATTCTCAATTATTTCAAGACCTATCAGATTCCACATACATGTGATAAAATTCAATCTCATTTTCAATATAGGAAGACTGTAAATTTTTTCCTCTTAACTTTTTTTTATTAAATCACCTAATTCTTCAAAGAAGAAAATTAATGTATTTTAAGACTTTACACTTAGAGATTAAAAATAGTCAAGTGTATAATGTTTAAAAATATACTTTTCTGTTTGTTCTCTAAATATGTACCATCCTTTTGCTTATAGAACATACTATTCTGAGGTATCCTAGAATGCAGTAGAACAACAGTGTTTTTGTTTGTTTTTCTCATTTTCTTTTGTAGTAATCATTTTAGACATGATTCTAGAATTAAAAAAATATAAAACCTGAATGGCTGTATAAGTAAATGATATTCTGGAATCTTATTCCATGTATTCCTTCAATTAAAAACATAAGACTATAACTATCCCCATTCAGACTTAGATTGATTCAAAAATGAAAAGCAAAGGCTTCTATTAAATTATACTAAAGCAAACCTTCAATAGAAGTATAGCACCAGAGCATACATACCACTTGGAGACACAATTACTGGCTGAAGAAGTCTTTGCTCTCCTCCTGGGGGAAGGTTCAGTGCAATGACAAGCACTGTTCCCAATGTAGTACCAACCCACAAACATGGGGAGGGGGCTGAATCTGCCTTTCGAGTAAAAGTTTCACAGAAATGAAGAGCAGAGATTGCTTCTCGGGATTCTTTATCAACGCTGGTTACACTTGAACTCCGTGATCGGCTGAAGGAATTATCTTTTATATCTGAAACGATTTAAAATGTTGTGAGATTGCTCAAGTTATAAAATATCATGCTTTTTGTTTGGTATAAGTTTTGCCAAATAGTTAATCTGCAAAAAGATAAAATCTACAGCATATTTAATTTTAAGTTTCTTTTAATTGAAAAGAAAAACAATTTACTTTTATGCTAACAATTTTTTCCTTTGCTTGTATTTGAAACACAGAGGGACAAATCCACACTTCTCAGAACTGAGCTGAGGTCAACCCAGCGAGTTCAGTGAGTTTTTGGATGGATGATCTCTGTGGTTTTGGTGCAGCTCTCTGTTAGTATCCTGGCTGCTTTTCCAATCTTAGCCCTTACTACCCTTTCTCATGGTGCTGTTTCTTCCTTTGGTAATATAATTCATGAGTAGATAGAATCAAGAAAGTGGGTATTTTCAATTTTCTACGTTAAAAAAATGCTTTTATAAGTACTCTGATGCTACCTTCAAATTTATTGTATGATGGACTTTTTTCCTTCACATCTGTCCATATGAAAGCCTTAATCCATAAAAATTTAGCTTTATTTTCTTTTAAATGCGATTTTAACTGTAACCAACGTTCATCTAAGGCGTTTTTCATTAAACTGTACAACTGGTATCTGGCTCATACTTAACTTGATGCCAGGTATATTCCCTTTACCCGGCTCTGTCTGTAATGACAGGGATACTTGTAAATTATACTAATAAACCCTCTCATGTCTTCAGCTACCTTCTCTGTGGCCAATCTCAAGTCTGTTTCAAGCCCTGGCCTCTTTTCTCTTGGAATGCATTTCCAAAGGCTTATAAAAATTTTTTCCTATTATGTCTCACTAGGGAAAGTCAAAATACATCATTTCCCCAAGGCTCTAAATTCTTCTAATGGCACTATTTATATTAATGACACCCCTGTTCTCCTAGGGAAACAATACTTGAAATGAGTCCCAAGTTTGGTTCTTCCCTTTCACTTTACTTACATGTCTCTGATGGGATGCAAAGTCCTACGCTATTCTAATGTTTCTGTTTCCTTCTTTCCACTATTAATCAACTTCCATCACCCTATGTTCAGGCCTTTATCACCATTCATCTAGACTACAATTCCCAAGAGATCTCCCCACCTTCACTCTGTCACTGTTCTATCACAACTCAACTAAATTTTACAAGGTACAGTTTTAATTCTATCACCTCTATCTTAAAAGTCCGCAACAGTTCCTCTTATACTCTTACTCAGGTTTTTAAGACTCCACAAAATATCTCAACCTACCCTCCTGGCCCTATCTGCCAGAGTGCTGCCCTGCTTCAGTTCACTGTGGGAAATAAACCGAGCCATTCAATGTTCTCCAAACATACCTGGAGCTTACCTACTTTTTTGCTTGTGATTTTCTTTCTGATTCGTGCCCTTGCCTTTTCTCTACCTATCTAGATGGTGTTTATTCTCCATCTCAAGTACTGTCATCCTCATGAAGTTTATCCTGATTCCTAAAACCATACACAGTTTTTCTCTTTTGAATCTTGATAGCTTTTTATCCCCCCCCCGGCATGAATAGTACATTTGTTCTGTAGTTATTTCTGACTTGTCTTAAGCCTTGTTCTAATGTGACTGTAAATTTCTTGAAAACAAGGGCTCTCTCCTTTTGATGCCCTGCAGAATTTGGCATAGTGCCTTGCATATGAAGGTATTCAACATATACTTGCTGAAGACAGACCTACAGTTCCAAGTATCTAAAGCAATGTGTTTCTGCTACACCACTGGGATATATTAAAATTTCCAGTAGCTTCTGCTGTTCACATCTAATAAGTCACTCCTCAAATCACATGTTTCCAATGCTACTGTGAAAGAAATGACTTCATAATGTTGTGAAAAATGAAAAACACGTTCAAGTCTTCTAAGTTGTATTTTACTGAATAAAAAAGGCATAACTGAATCCTACCTATACCCCCCAAAAGCTTCTTGTAATCAAATTTAGATTCATGGTTAAAAAAAATTCTCCCAAACAATAATTATATACAACATAATTTTGATTACAGCTAGCCTCTGAAAACAATAAAGCCACTAGTTATGACAACAGCATGGGTTATTTCTAACTATAGTTTCTAAAAATGCTTTTCTTTTGCCTGAGATTGTGCTTCCTGTTACAGATTATGACACAGTAGAAAAGAACTACTTAATGTAAATAAAACAGCTTTCTATAAGCAATAGCTCATTACTGGATGAGTTTGTAATATGATATTGATTCCAAATGTTAACTCTTTTTGTTCCCAAAGTTATTTTAGTAAAAAAAACAGAAATTTAAAATTTATTTTCCAATGATAAAAATATTTGTTACTTTGATGAGACATACACATAACAAGATGAACAGACATATTCACCTATATTATCAGTTGTGACCTAGTGATAAAAATGAAAATCAGTGACACAAGAAAATTTAATATTATAAATTTCAATATAAATTAAGCTGTATGAAAACCTATACTGTTATCTATTAGAATTACAATAGGTGATTCACAACAATCTATACTTCAAATGTTAATTCACAGGCCAAGTAAACATTATTTTAATTTAATAGACTAATTTAACTATATAAAATTCATAAACTACAACTGTGTTTTTATTATATGACTTCTCTATAAGATTGCCAGAGAAACTCCTATGGCTAGATCAATATGGGAAAATGAACTGAATCAGAATCAACTCTGAACTTAGAGAATTAGGTTGCTTATTTTATCTGTGTAGAACTGTTTGAAAACAAGTTAGAATCTTCAGCAGTTCATGAATTGTAACTACCACTGACTGCTCTTAAGTTAGATGTTGTGGGTCTTTGTGGCTTAAATATTAGAAATTGGGCAAGCTTAACAAATGGAATAGAAATTTTCATTTTCATTCTACTAATAAGAGCAGAAATGAAATAGCTACCACTAAGTAGGGCTACCATGTGCTTCATACTATCATAAACTTTACATTTATCATTTTATTGAATCTATATAATAACCCTGAAAAGTATTATCACCATAATTTAACAAATAATGAAGTAGAGGCTCAGACAGGTTAAATGACTGAGAAAGCTAGTTAATGGAAGAGTTTGGATTTGTGCCCATGTTCAAGTCTAAAACATCTGTTAGGCAACTCCAGATAAACATGGGATTAGTCATATCACCAATATCATACGAGTGGAGTGTTTTAATTATTATTGAGCATTAAAGTTCAGTGTTTAGATTAAAAAAAAACAAAACTGGAACATGTGGTCTTTCTGGCCAATCTAAACTCAGAAAAAAATTGTCATTAATGCCTCCATCCAGCTCTAGTGATACAACCATGTCATAAAATTATTGCTTTCCTGTTATTCTCTGGATGCCTAGAACATTCCACCTGTGTATATCACACTCTCCTATCACATAGAGCCTTATGCAACAAAATTTTATATCCCCCAATCAAAACATAATGCCAAGAGGTAAATTTGGTCAGGGTAAAAATTAGGACAAAATATTTACTTACATAAAGATACATAACAGTTTGATATTTTGCCTCCTGTTCTTGACACTTGAAAAGTGACATCAGCAGTCTAACAATATCGCCCATGATTCCTGAGTTGTGGGCCATGGAATCTAGGGTGAAGCTATGGTGAAAGTACAATGTTGCATAATTCCCCTATAAACAAAAGTGAATTCTATTCACAGAAGCTTCCATAGCTGCAGGAAAAGTCCAACAGCTCAGCTACTTTAGCAACATTTGGCAGTTTGAGCCTATGGATAATAGTTGTTTTTCCCCGTTGACTCTCTGGCCAATGTAAAAGAATTACCAGCTAAGAATCTCTATCAAAAAATAGTTCAGTAGCACAATGACTTAAGGGAAAATTATTGAGGCAACATGGGTATTGTTTCAACATATATATTAATCAAAGTTATAATTAGCTTAGGGCATTGAGATACACGGGCACACAAGTAAAAGATAAACTGAATAAAGATGATCTATAAAAGCACAGAGCACACACTTTGATTAAGTTACTTAAATAATTCATAAGTGTGAATATTCTTTTAAAAAGTAATTGACATCTATTTTTACTAATTTAAAAAGTACTTCTACATGTGTTTTCTCAACAGATTTTTAGGTACTAAAAGACACAAAACCATTTTAAGTAGTAGTATTCAGTGTTACTAAAATCATGGGCATCTTTGAGAGTCTGATGAAAACTCTGGATCCTCTTGCTGGGGAAAAAAATGCTTAACGGTAGCCTCAGATACACGTGGGTTCAAATGGCATCTTTCATTTTTATAGTGAAGGGAACTATGCTCCTCTCAAAACATACGTTATCCAACATTCTAGAATTTATTTCTGGTTCCCTTAACAGCAGGGGTATTACAGGGTTCTACTAAACTGTTCTTCCTATGTTCAGGAATGGAACCTTTCACTGATGACAGTGGAAGATATTATGCCTACTCACTCATAATAACATGCTATCAGTATAACTGAGATAAGACTATGATTTGGAAATGCTAAAATCAGTAAGGTGAAATGGACCAATACCTAAGTCTGTATTATGCATAAGAAGATAGTCAAGGAATCTAGAGAATTAACAGTGAGAAGATGAGGTGGGTGAGCAAATAAAAAGGAGAAAATCTAGTTGTTTCTAAGACAAACATGCGTGAAATCATCCGTATGCAGTCACACTTCTTATCCACTTAAAGGCAATAGAAATTCTAAAATTAAAATGGAAATCCTGCTTTATATTTACTACATGGGATCTTATTTTTGTCTTTATCGAAATGTCATTTGTCCCTATCCTGGGATATCAGGGAGCTGTTTTGGAGCTGGATATAAAGCAGAAGGAATGTGTGAATATATTCACTCTGCTTTCCTAATGGATAGGTTGCATAGAGAGTGCTACAGAAAAAGATATATTTTCCACCTTATTATCGTGAAAAAGTAATAATGATTCTTGATATGAGATTCACTGTAATACAGGAAACTAGTCATTTATTTTGAAAATATTAAATTCTCATAAAATAAGTATATAAATAATAAAGTTCAAAATAAGTTTTCAGATGGTTAATTGAAATTAATCCAAAATCACACATATTTTAATCTTACACTAAATTTTGTTTAGATAAAGTATGAGAGGGCTGAGGAAATATATTATTTTGATTTGCTTAAAGTTATATTATAATTATCCTTTACAATCTACAGAAAGCATCCTGAAGGCTATTAATTCTTAAACAGTCATTTTAAACTTGATTTTCAATGAAAATCTAGTCTATGGTCATTTTAAATCTCCTGATTTCCTTGTCTTCCCATTAAAGAGAGTTTAACTACTATGTATTTTCATTTGTTTATTTTACTTACCTAAGTCAGGCTTTAGGTCAGTAGGCAAGCTTAACTTCCTTGACATTTTTGCTGAAAAATAAAATGCATTTTTAAAGTTCTGAAGAATATCTAATTCATGCTTATTCATACCAACTGCCCTTCAAGATAGGAGTGAATATTTTTCTTACTTAGATGCTAAGATAATTAAGATATGATTAATAATGTTATGGGTGGAAAGTAAATCTTATTTTCAACTTTTTAAAAAGTTTGTACTTACTTGATTGTAACACCTTTGAGTGCTTGAAGCTCTCACTTCAAGAAAGCCTTTTAAATTCTAACTGTTAATTATTTCTTAGGCTCACAGGAAAGGGTTAGGCTTTTCTAAGGAAGCAAAATCATTTCTCAGAAAGAAGGTGTTGCAGATAAGGACAATAGAGGCATAAGACTGAATTTGGGTATGTGATACAATAAAATCTTTCCAGCTCCTCGTCTTCACAGCTATTAGGCTCATTCTTTTTTAACTTAATCTCTTGAATATAGGACATCCTATATCTACAATCAAATTGAAGTATTTGATTACTTCACAAAAATATTTGGCTCATCCATTTCTTCATATATGTCAACTCAATTTACATTTTAGTAAAAAACAAAAAAACAAAGTCATGCTCAGTCTAAAATTAAAGTATTTACAAAAATATAAACTACAGATACTTCTATTTTGGATTAGAATAATACAAAAGCCTAGGTAAAAAACTACTGAAATTCACTTTCCATCCTGAAAATCAGTTATTGCCTAAATCTAGGAAGTGATTTAAAGTTAGGAGGTGTTTAACTATATCTATTATGTTAGTGGCAGTGCATGCGTAACAGAATAGTGCTTCCTATGTGAAATTTTGAAAAAGCATTTGTTTGTTAATACATGAATGTGTATATTGGGTTAAATTTTGGACTGTTAGGAGATATTTAAAGAACAGACCCTGCTAGTCCATAAGGGCGCCATGTAAACAAAGAGAAATCCAGTCATAGTACATAACTTCCACATCTAAAAAAATGACAAATCCAGTGTTAGGAAAGAGGCATTAGGCAAACTGGGAAGGGATAGGGGGAAATCAAGTATTTATTTCTAAGCTTCATTAATCTAATTAGCATCCTTTAAAAAATAACAACAATGGGTCAAATATATGAATCAGTCTTATCCCATTTTCACACAGACTTAATCAATCTCAGTTAAAAGATAAAAAGTAATAGAAAACTAAAATAGCCAAATCTATGGTTGGTTGATATCATATAAATGGCTGCTCTTGTATTTAACATCCAATTCTCTTAAACCTAGAAGATACTATACCCCTCTCAAAATGTTTTTTAAAATGCAATATTAAACTTTTGAAAGAATTCAGAGGTTTTCACCAAATATCAAAGGTACAATGTACGCAGACTGATAAATAATATCTATACAATATTCGAAGGAGAAAAATCAGTCAGATACAGTCTAAAGATACTCTTTCAGAATCAGATAATGTGGATGCCTCTCTAGACCCCGCTACTCTGATTTGATTAAGTTATTCTGAAACGTAATCAAGTGCTTATAAATCTTGAATGTGCACACTAGTCACCTGGGTATCTTGTGAAATCAGATTCTTGCACTTCTAACAGGCTCCCAGGAGATGCTGATGCTGCTGTTATGTGGACCACAGAGAGCATCAACGTCCCTAGACTAAAAGCAACTTCAGGATAGGGAACAAGACTAATTCAACAAACCCAGTATGTAGATACAGTAAGTCCACAGCAAACATTTCTTGAAGAAGCTTCAACATCTAGTTTGTAAAATGTGGAAGTGTAAAGTACGGTGGTTAGGACTGGATTTGGAATCAGACCAAATACGAGTTTATATCTAATTCAACCAACTACTAGGTGTGTGACCTTAGGCCAATCACTTTGCCTCTCTAAACCTTAAATTTCCTCATCTGTAAAATGGGAATAGATATTAATGACAATTTCATAGTTGTGAAGATTATATAAGATGACATAAGCAAAACATTAGGCATAATACCTTACACACAGTGTGGATTTGATAAACCTTATTATTTATGAATAATAAACAAATGACTTTTTCATAAACTGTAAAATGTTACACAGATGAGCTATTAATATACTTGTAAACAATCCAATATTTCTTTATTCTAATTCTATGGTAATATTCCAATTAACTAAAACAAGAAAATGGAAAAAAACTTTTAGGATATAAATATAGAATGGCGTGCACAACTATAAGCTCAACCTCTTTTTAAGTTCATTTCAAAAACTAAGTTCTATATCTAAACATAAGAAGTGAAATAAACCTGAGTAATTTATAAGATATTTTTATGGGGAAGCGGTGGAGGGGGGAAAAGATTTAATTCCTTGGCATTTCCTGTGTAATTTATATTTATGCCTTCAGGTTCCATAGCCCTTTCTTCTGTAGTCTCCATCTAGTGATACTAAACCCATCTGATGAACTGATCATATAGTTTCAGATACTGAACTCTTCAGTACTAGTGTTTCACTTTGTTATAAAGTTTTAATTTTCTCTGCTGATATTCTCCATCTGTTCACTCACTATGACCATGTTCCCATTTCAGTACCTGAACATATAATATTATAGCAGCTGCTTTAAAACTCTTGGCTGCTAATTTCAACATCTAGGTCATCTTATAGTCTGTTTCTACTGATTTTTTAAATTCTTAATTATGGGTCATATTTTCTCATGATTCTGAACTTTTATTTCACTTGTCTAGGAACTTTTGATTGAATGTGGACATATGTTTTGACTGAATAGTAGATAATATGTTGAAGGGAGCCTGGATTACACCATCAACCTTAACTGGTGTTGAGTTTTGTTCTGCCATGCAGTTAAATTACTGGTGGATAACAAGCTTGGTTTTATTCTTTGTTAGGGTGGGTCTATTTCAGTTAGAACTTTGTTCTAGGGTATGGCTCTTATGCTAAGAACTGATCCTTACTCTTCAAGAGTGGCCTTGTTGGGATATAAACAGAATGAATGAGGTGCTCAGCAAGGTCTCACTACGTCTACTCCCAGCATCGCATGACCTCTGATATCACTGGTCAGCTCTCAGCCTCACAGCAGGTGGTTGTTAAGTAGGCCTACTGAAGTCTTGACCAGCTCGTATGTGGCCCAGCCCTAAGGCAAGGACCTGCATTGAATCTCCACAGGGACTTCTAGGAATCCCCCTTGAAGCAGTTCCTTCTTCTCTAGTGCCCTCCCTCACAAATTCCAGTCACTTTAGAAGCCCAGAACTCCAATTTCTTCCTCCTTAGCTTAATGAGACTGCAACTCCACTTGGGTTCTAATCACTCTGCACTGCAACAGGAAAATTATTCTCTGGCAGAGAACTGTGTTTCACCTCATGCTTTTCTTTCTCTTGAGGATGACAGTCCTGGACTGTTCAATGCCTGGCAATAAGAGCCTCATGTATTTTGACTAGTTTTACTGTTGTCTTCTGTGAGAGGCTGAGTTCCAAACCCAAGGTCTAAAGTTGAAATTTAGGCTAAATGTTTCTATCTTTCAGTTTTTGCGACTACTTCAGAGGAATATCCTTGTTTTAAGGTCTGTTTAATCAACCTCCTTGGTGGCAGGTCCAGGAGAGGCAGATCCACTTCTGGAGAACCTCTAGTTAGTCCTCCTGGCTTATAAACTGTACTCTGGTTGTAATTTTGTGAGGAGGCAGTTGCAGACTTTATCCAGCATTTTCTGAAGCTCATATTTTTACTTCTCAGGAGTCTCAGAAGTGCTTGCCAACATAATTACCTTGTCACCTGATTTCATCACACTGAAAAAGAAACTTCTGCTCATGCTTTGAAGTTACTCAGCTTCCACTGAGGTTTTCAAACTGAAAACATATGATCTGAATGAGTTCTTGGAAGGCAAATTGCCTGTTTTTCTCTTCTTTATCTGTGTATTCTTCAACTCTTGCCCTGGTACCCAGTATCTTGCTTGCTTTGAAATCCTCTGTCACTAGAAACTATAAAATAGCTCTCTTTTTCTATGCCTTTGTCCACAGCAGAAACAATGGGAATGAGTAAAGAAGTTTCTTCAGTCGGAAGAAAACTGGAGTCAGAGATGGATCTCAGCAGGCTGTTAACCTGAGTGTGTTTGCTCTCTCTTCTTATAAACCAGAATGAGAATATCAAGCTGGCTCGCTGAATAAGCAGTAAAGAGCTGCGTTTGATTGTAAAGAATAATGAAGTTACACTTAATCACAACAATCATGTCTGCAATGGTAGTTTCAACACCAAGGAAAGATGATGTTCAAGAGAAGTAAATCTTAAGGCAAGGGGACTGCATGGGCCATTATACCATAGATGACAGTTTCCTCATGGTTGATGCTTTTTAGTTCTTTGCAAAGAAAAGTTTCTCAATTATAGAGATTCTTACCACTTCTCTGAAATTAAACAGATGCTTTGAAATTTTCCTTTAGCTTTTCTACCCACTGTGTTCCACATCTTATTCTTCTAAGGAAGGTTTTTTAAAGGAAAACAGAACTATGACTTTTATATTAAACAATGTACCAACAATAAAAGGTAAAATGACTTCTTATTATGACAGTATGAAGAAGATGCCAAAAAAGCAAATGGATCTTTGTTTACATCGAGAGCAGTTCAATAATTAGAATAAAGTGACAATATCACTTTTCTCACCTGCAGAGATCCAATGCAACTCTTTTCATGGATAATGTCGAAATGTATGCATATTAAATAAAAGCAATCAGAATAATTCTAAAAAAAAGACTAAAAATCAGCTTGTAGGATAGAGCAAGCAATCCAAGGGGGGAAAGTGGGACCAAGAAGTAGAAACTCTCCTATCACACACTATTTTAATAGTCATTTGAACTAATAATGTCAGCTTCTACCTCCCATCCTAGAATATAAATTCTATGAATTTGGGAACAGACTTTATTTTGCAAATTACTGCATCTATGCATGTGTCTAGCACTTAATGTGTATGTTCAATAAACATGGCAATGAATGAAAATAAGCAAAAACTGTTATTGGAATTTTTGGAAAGAAGCTGAATTTCTTCACGAAGTGAAAAA